GTTCTGATTTTTCCCATGATGACTACTTTGATGCTTTTTTTGAAATATCAAATATCAATTTTTTTTAATCTCATTTTTTTTATGCCCCCTGCTTTGCTGGGGCCCTAATCACATGCTTAGTCTGCCTATTGGGTAATCCAGCCCTGAAAATGCCCCTATATGACTCCATGTTATAACAGCACCTCCTGCCCTGACTCAGCCCATTCCACGGAAAGGACTTGACATGAGCAAGTCCTCAGGTAAAAGAGGGGTCAAGGGAGGGAGATTAATTCTGTCTGATCCAATCCATCTTGAAGACAACTTCAGCACAGCTCAGCAGAGCTCGTTTGTGTGACTCTCTGAGACAGGGATGAGCTCAGCAGTTAGCTATCTGAATCCTGTGTCTTTCACTGCCAGCCCTTCAAATCCAGCCACTTCCAAAACAGTTACCATGCTCTGAAGCCCATAACCGACCCTCCTTTTCATCCCCTTGTTAGACAAGTATTCGCGGAACATTCCAACAATCAACAGCAATTATGTTACCAACAGCTTAGATGCAAGCGGAACATCTGGACTAGATACGGTTGAAATGTTCCAATGGAAAGTTTTTCTATTAAAAAGTAGGATTTTTTCATAAATGCCCCTTTTTTCTTTTGGTCACACACCTCATCACCAGTGTTATTTTTGGTTTCCAGCAAATATTTTTTTATCAGAAAGGTGATCAAAGTGTCAATTGCATTTTTTGTTGCCCAACTTTCAGGCAATGAAAAATTGCAATGACCGTTTGGATAAGGATTTCAATTTAAAAAAAAACAATTGTATAACAATTTGCAAAGAAAGAAAAAAATGGGTCAATTTCAAACCATTCAAAATGAAAACAACTTCAGCGGTTTTCACTCCACTGGTTTTTCAACAGCTTTAAGCAGGACTGGCTCTTGGATTTCAGACAAAAAGTCAGAAGACACCTTGTCAGGTTCTAGGAATGGGTGCATGACTTTTCCTCGAAACACCGAGACTGATACCCATGGCTCTCTACTCACAAGTGCTGGAGTGGCACGAAAGCAGCTGGCTTAGGGCAGTTGGGCTGGTATGACTTTTCATTCAAGGATGGTTTGTACCATGCTGCCATACAAAATATCACTAGCCAGGGATGAGATACCTTGGACTGCCCAGATACACGGGAACATGGGCATTGCCAGGCTGGATCAGAGCCAAGGTCCATCCAGCCCAGTGTCCCATCTCTGATTGACACTGGCACCAGCTGCTGCAGGGGAAGGTGTAAAAGCCCTGCAGCGGTCGAAGTCGGGTAATCTTCTCCCCACATAGGTCTCTAGTAGCCAGCAACTGGCTCATGCCCTATGTACAAGATGGAATATCCCTACCAAAAGTTATTGTGGGCATAAGGTGGCAATAGCATTGCTAGGGCGGACAAACAAGGCAAGCCCATTGCTGGTATAGGGCTAATACAAGGTGCTATAGCAGATCGCACGGTGGTAGGCTGGCTGCCATGGAGATTGCCTGGGAACTTGGAGCGAGTTCAAAGGGCCGCCACCCATTTGAAATCTAGCCCATTTCAATCATGAGTGAAATGTCTCTCCCGGCCCTGCCCCTGTCAGTTCTGTGGTATTACACTCACACTTCCTTCTCTGTGATGCTTTTCTCTGCCCTCACGGTTTGGGGACCCACTCAGACTGCAGGAGAAGCTGGCTAATGCCTGGGCTGAATGGAGGATGTCACCCTGGTGTAGCGACCCCTGCTGTACACAAGGGAAACGACAGCTGGCACAGAAGCAGCCAACCCAAATGGCAAGCAGGGGTGGGCTCAATCCGTGCAAATAGCTATTTAGCCCTGCGTACACTAGGAGTTGCACTGGTTCAGCTACAGTGGTGGCTGGCTGGACTCAGGGGAAATCGCTAGTACAGACCAGACGTAATTATATATGGGCCCCATTCAGCAAAGCACTTAAGCACATGCTTGAACTTTATGGTTAAAAGTTAATACTGCTGCCAACTCTCACGGTTTGATTGTGAGTCCGGCAGTTTCTGGAGTATTTGTTTAAAGCTCCGGCTGGTGGCATCAAGAGATCACAGGAGAGTCTCGGCTTTCATTCAAAGTCAAAGGCAGTTTCTAGCCCTCCTGGTTGCAAAGGAAAGCTTGAAAACATGACATACGTGTGCCCCAAAAGCTTGGAAACTAAAAATCTAAGAAAAACAATCCCACAATTATTATTAGGTTGGTTTTTTTTTCAAATCTCATGGTTTTTAAGACAATCTCATGATTTTGGCAGGCCAGATTAAGGATTGTTCTGCATTTAAAGTTGGCAACACTTGAGTTCAGCAAAGCACTTAAGCATGTGTTTAACAGGGATGGTTTGCTGACTTGGGACCTACTTTATGGGGAAACCAGGGACTATTTCCCAAGTAAGGTCAAATGTACAAAGTAAATAAATTGCCACGCTACCTGGAATGCCATCCTAAGGGGCGGTACTTCCTGGATTGCACTACTGGTGCGTGGAACTTCCTGGAAGGAAATCACCCAGTACTGGTGGTATGATGTAGTGTGAGGGTAGGACATGTAGCCTGATCTCACCATTTGATCTTCTAACACCCATTTACATAGAGACACTTGCCGTCCCACTTCCTGTGCTTCCTACTCAATGGAGTTTAATTAGCAGACAATAATCGTGGTATCGCATGCAAAGGATGAAGGTGGATGGGAACCTGGGAGGCAGTGACCATGATATGATTGAGTTCAGGATCCTGACACAAGGAAGAAAGGAGAGCAGCAGAATACGGACCCCGGACTTCAGAAAAGCAGACTTTGACTCCCTCAGGGAACTGATGGGCAGGATCCCCTGGGAGAATAACATGAGGGGGAAAGGAGTCCAGGAGAACTGGCCGTATTTTAAAGAATCCTTTTTGTGGTTGCAGGAACAAACCATCCCAATGTGTAGAAAGAATAGTAAATATGGCAGGTGACCAGCTTGACTTAACAGTGAAATCCTTGCTGATCTTAAACACAAAAAAGAAGCTTACAAGAAGTGGAAGATTGGACAAATGACCAGGGATGAGTATAAAAATATTGCTCAGGCATGCAGGAGTGAAATCAGGAAGGCCAAATCACACTTGGAGTTGCAGCTAGCAAGAGATGTTAAGAGTAACAAGAAGGGTTTCTTCAGGTATGTTAGCAACAAGAAGGAAGTCAAGGGAAGTATGGGCCCCTTACTGAATGAGGGAGGCAACCTAGTGACAGAGGAGGTGGAAAAAGCTAATGTACTCAATGCTTTTTTTGCCTGTCTTTACGAGCAAGGTCAGCTCCCAGACTACTGCACTGGGCAACACAGCATGGGGAGGAGGTGACCAGCCCTCTGTGAAGAAAGAAGTGGTTTGGGACTATTTAGAAAAGCTGGACGAGCACAAGTCCATGGGGCTGGATGCACTGCATCCGAGAGTGCTAAAGGAGTTGGCGGATGTGATTGCAGAGCCATTAACCCTTATCTTTGAAAACTCATGGTAATTGTGGGAGGTCCCGGATGACTGGAAAAAGGCTAATGTAGTGCCCATCTTTAAAAAAGGGAAGGAGGAGGATTCGGGGAACAACAGGACAGTCAGCCTCACCTCAGCTCCATGAAAAATCATGGAGCAGGGCCTCCGAGATAACTGGCTCTGTGGATGAGGGGAAAGCAGTGGACGTGTTGGATCTAGAATGTTCTCAGTGGTAGCTGATGACAGAACAAGGAGTAATGGTCTCAAGTTACAGTGGGGGAGGTTTAGGTTGGATATTAGGAAAAACTTTTTCACTAGGAGGGTGGTGAAACACTGGAATGCGTTACCTAGGGAGGTGGTGGAATCTCCTTCCTTACAAGTTTTTAAGGTCAGGCTTGACAAAGCCCTGGCTGGGATGATTGAGTTGGGGATTGGTCCTGCTTTGAGCAGGGGGTTGGACTAGATGACCTCCTGAGGTCCCTTCAAACCCTGATATTCTATGATTCTATGGCTGTGGAGACTTTAAACTCATTGCTGCTTGTATTGGAAGGTCATTTCCTTAGCAGCCACTCAGACGGGCCCTAGCTGTGGTTGCTTCTGTTTTTGTTCTAACCCAGGCTGCCATCAAAAGGCTTGTGACTGATGACCAGCAGCATTCCTGCAAAGCAGTCACTCTGTAGCTGTAATAAAATGCTGGGGCACTGACTGTCTCTGCTCTCACACGCTAAGCAGGGCCAGGCCTGGTTGATATTTGGATGGCAGATTGCCCATTAAAAATGAATGATTAGGCCCTTTTAACTTTGGGTCAGCGCCCCCAGCGTGGCTGAGGTGCCGTTGCTTAGGCGAGATGACAGAGTTGTCAGCTTGTGGCTCTTACTACTGTAATAACCCTGCATGCAATGCTACTCTGCGTGGAAAGCCAGGACAAAGGTGTGGCCAGACGGGGGCCGCACTACCACAGATGCCCAGCCACTGACTCCAGCGAGATTAATGGTAGAGACAGAAGGACAGGTGCTGTGACGGGGCGATCGCTGAGCAACCTGGGGCTTGTGCCGTTGAGAGCTTTGTCTAGGCTCAGCTGGGAAGGGAACTGGGCACTCGCAGCAGCACTGGAGTAACAGCCCCTCACCGTTCCACCGTACCAACACATTGTGTTTCAGCTGGTGCTCCCAGGTTGCCTCCGGGATGCGCCCCAGCTGGAGTTTGGTGCCATGACAAAATTCCCCAGAGGAGAAGTGATAACCGCCGTGTCCCACTCAGATTCCTCCTCGGCAATGGGTAATTCCTTTCTGCCTCTTAACTTTGCCTCTGCAGTTCCAGTGGACCCAGCATTCTCCTTCATTGCCTACCATTCGGTATGTGCAGCATGACTGTGGGCTGCTAACAGCTGCCATGCTCCCCAGAGGGGGCTGCATTTCGCTTCTGGGTAAGGTGAGGCTTGTGAGCGCTGTGGAGTTATGAAAGCGCTTTGGGTTCCTCTGTCCTATGGAAATGGAAGGGGCGGGTGTAATGGGCTCCCTCCTATCTCTATTCCAGGATTATATCTTCTACCTGGAGCCGGAGAAGCTGGAATCAGGGAAAGGGAAGTGTTCCTATGACCCCAAGGTGGACAGCGTCTCAGCCTTGATAAGTGAGTCCTTCTCTCTTGCGACTGCAGCACTGCAAGGTGGCCAAGGGGACCAGAGCTGCTCTGGCTGGGCCCTGCGGTGCTCCAGAGGGACACCCAGCTGGTTCTTGGCACTGATTCCAGGACCATAGATGGTCCTAGACCAAGAGGGGCAAAGGGGTATAGTTGTGTCAGCCATTGCCAAGGCACAAGACCAGGAAAGGGCCAGAGCAGCAAAGGGGAAATGCAGACAGGGCTGTTGCCTAGTCTCCATACGGGGAGATGTCTGCAGGGGTGAAGGTGGAGTAGCCAAGGCCCGGGGGCACCAGAGCCCAAAGATCTAAGCTCGGCTGCTCGCCAGAACCACCTCAGCCAGGGCAGGAAGGTACCTGAGCCCTCCACCAAGGGACCAGGAGACTGGGAAGGTGCCCAGGCATGTCAGAACCCAGTTGTGGCCTTTAATTCATAAGCTCCGGCCCGGAGCCAGGAGGGACCTGGCTGGTTGGCTCACAGGGAATGCAGCCGCTGCAGATAACGTGTCAGTCTTGTTGAGCTACTCTGTCCTCCCTGCTGCCACCAGTTGAACCCTGGGTCACACTCTCCAGTGGTGCCACGCGACCACTCTCGCTGCCCAGGGAACCTCCAGGGGAACTCAACAGCCACAGAATGCCTGCTGCCTGCTCTGGTCTCGGCTGCTGGCGAGCCCTGCCTTGTGCAGACACCGCTGCACTGCAACCCATTCGAACTTGCCACTCCAGCGAGAAGCAGCCACTTGCAGGTTACGGGGAGCTGAAACCAGGAAGTGCATGGGCTGGGGTCCAGGTTGAGGAGGAAGCTCCAGAACTCCTGTCCAGGCTTTGCCTGGGACAAGCCAGAGAGCAGAGCCCTGGGGAGCCGGCTGTTCTCTTCCCGGCCCCGGCACACACGGTTCCCCTTGCATGAACCTGGCATGGCACTCACCTGAAACAGATGCTGCTGGCCTAACACAAGGCTCCACCATGACTCCCCATTGCTCAAGGCTGGGGAAGTCTCTCCCCACGAGCTCCCATTTTGTGCCTCCCCTAGGCTGTCCCCCACCCCCTTGAACTAGCCAGCGCCACAACTGCGTAGGGGTGGCTCACAGACCCCTGCTCTCCCTCCCAGCCGCATCAGAGCAGAGCAGTGGGCCGGGGAGGGACCTGCACCAATCTGAGTTGAGTGCCAGGGCTGGTTGCATGCCATGGAAATATTAGGTGGTTTGAGACCAACGTTAAAATGAGAGGCGATGAGAAGCTGTTTAGGACTCCAGGGCAGGTGGCTGCTGGGGGGCTGCTCCCTCCTCCCCAGAGACATTAGCCTGGCGGTGTTCTGCAGCTCTGCTGAAGGTGGCTGCCCCCAAGAAAGCCAAGCAGGGATCTGAGTCCAGGGCCCAGCGGCTGTGGGGCCAGCAAACCCAGTCCGGGTGTGTGGGAGGGAAGGCAGCAGGTCGAGACACATGCAGATGGGGCACTTTGGCCCAATGTGAGGACTTGGAGGGCTGTGGCATGGCAAGAGGCCCCCGGATGCCACGGTGTTGGGTGTGGGACGAACCTAGGTAGAACAGTGTGGAAATGGGGTAGGAGAGGCTCCGAAAGCCACCGACAGATGATGGAAAAATCCCCAGGGCATCTCTTTCCTCAACAAGGTCAGATCCAACCCCGGCGAAGGAATGGCCACAGTGAGTCAGCTCCATGTGCTAGGAGCATCTCCACCCCAACTTCCTGTCCTATTTCTGTCCCTATTCTCCCCATTCACTTCCCATTTCCTATTCCCCTCCCCCCCCCCAGCTGATCAGGCGCAGCCCCGGGCACTGCTGGCGCCCTCCTGAAAGGTGCCAGGCCACAGCGCATGGCAGCCCTGGTGTCCATGGTGCTTTGCCCCTGGGGTGGCGAGGGGCAGGGATGGCTGGGATGGGGTTTCAAAGGGCGGGAGACCGAATCGGAGCAGTGAAGTAATGCGGGTCGGTATCGATGTCCTGCCGTCCCCAGGCCTGGGCAACAGCTGTGCCGGGCTCCCCCAGGAGCACTAGCCAAAGCTCTCACTTACTGCTAATCCCCCCCCTCCCCCCGCCCCTAGGCCTTGCAGGGCCTCGGCTGCCTTTGATCCTCTCCAGGCACAGGTATTGCCTTACACGCCAGCCCCAGCACTGCTTCGTTCATTGGGGAGCAGCTGTGAAGCAGGGGGATGGCAGCCAGACCTGGGACTGTGCCCCCGCCACAGTGCCAACCGGGCACCATGTGGGAGATGGAGACCTGTCTAGGAGCTGACAAGGAGCTGGGGTCCCTCTCCCCAGAGGGGAGATGGAGTGCTCTCAGGGCTGCCCCAGGCTCTCTCCCCTGGGCTTTCTCCCCACACCCAGGGGCCCCGCGCCAGCCCATACACTCTAGGCTGAAAGGGCATTGCTCCTGGACAGCCTTTGAGACAGCTCATGAGTGGCACAAGTTGGTGACCCTGGTGTTGCAGGAGCAGCAGGTTGTGACTCCCTGTCTTTGTCCCATGGCGTGTGCCGCTCGCAGTGGACGTGGGCAGCGAGGACCTGCCAGCTCCTGGGGTGTTGTGGGCACCAGTCGTCTCCTCACTGGCTCCCATGGTGGTGTCCTGCATTCCACCCCCCGCCCCAGGATGTCCTGGCGGAGAGAGGGCATCAGCCAGCCCCCCATGCCAATCAGCACCACCACCGCCCGCAAGCTCCCCCTTTGGGCAGGGCTTGGGGGCAGGACAAAGGGTCTACATGAAGAGGGGCTGGGGGGTCCTCAGGTCCCACACGCTCCCCCTTCAGGAGCTGCTCCCCCACACACACCAGTCTCTGCTGACCTCTGCCTCCCACTTACAGATGAGGAGCTATATGCTGGCGTCTACATTGACTTCATGGGCACGGACGCAGCCATCTTCCGCACCATGGGCAAGCAGACGGCCATGAGGACTGACCAGTACAACTCCCGCTGGCTGAACGGTGAGTCTGGGGGAGCTGCGGGTGGGGACGGGCCGGCATTGTGCGTCTCCAGGACATGGGATGCTGCCCAGGGGCCTCGCGGTCTGTATAAAGCCCAGTGCCTGGCTGCCCTCTGGCCTGCCATTCCTGGAGCTTCTCTGGGGCTCATATAGCATGAGCACTGCATCCAGGATGGGGCCCACATCCCACAAGTGCCCTGGAGATCCCCACCCCCTGCAGCGTTTCAGGAGAATCTCCATGGCTTAGCCCCGGTGGAAGGCAATCGTGGCCTCGTGCCAGCTTGGCAAGGCTGTGCCAGGTACATGGTGTAACGATGCTGGCTTTGGTGGGACACGACTGAGATTACCAATGCAGGACAAATTGCTTAGAGCAGGGCAGTCACAGCCCCAGGCTGGTGGTTCTCCACCTCTAAGGGAAACCAAACCAGCCAGCCAGAGAGGACTTTGGTGTCACCCCACTGGCTAACCATAAGTCTCATAAACAATTTCCTTAGACACTACAGTTTCCCAGTATCACCACCAGTGCCACTTCTTATAGGGATGAATGGTGATGAAAACCAATACCCCAGTAAAAGAAAAAAGGTTCTCCTGATCCCAAAGGACCAAGCCCCAGACCCAGGTCAATATACCAGTCAGATCTTAGCCACAAATCACGCTGTTGCCAATCCTTTAGAATCTAAATTCTAAAGGTTTCTTCATAAACGAAAAAATATATAGATGACAGCTAGAATTGGTTGAATGGAATCAATTACATACAGTAATGGCAAAGTTCTTGGTTCAGGCTTGTAGCAGTGATGGAATAAACTGCAGGTTCAAATCAAGTTTCTGGAGTACATCCACAGCTGGGGTGGGTCATTCAGTCCTTTGTTCAGAGCTTGTTCAGAGCAAGGTTCCTCCAGAAGTAATAAGCAGGATTAAAGACAAAATGGAGGGATTTCCAGGGCCTTTTATATACTCTGCCCTGTGGAAGGACACCCCTTTGTTCTTACTGTGGAAAATCACAGCAGCAAGATGGAATTTGGAGTCACATGGGCAAGTCACATGTCCATGCATAACTCCGTTCTTTACAGGCTGATGCCGTTGTTTACATGTTAGTTTGAACATTCCCCAGAAAGCTCAGATGTGGATTGGTGTCTCCCAAAGTCCATTGTCAGTTAAGTGTTTCTTGATTGGGTACTTACTGAGAATAGTCCTTTCTCAAGAAGCTGACCAAGTGCTTCACTGAGGCTACTTAGAATTAAAACACATTGAGATACAAGTACATAGCCAATATTCATAACTTCAACTACAAAAATGATACACACATACAGATAGCATAATCATAACCAACAAATCATAACCTATTAATAGACACCTCACATGACAACCTCTGTACAATATTTGCTGCAAATATATAACAGTGGTTGCAACAATGATCTATACGGTTACAGTTTATGTCAATAACGTCACGCATGGGGCAGCCTCGGGGTGCAGTTTTCCCTTTGCCCGTGGTATGCCAGGCAGAGCTGGTGAAGTCACAGCCCTGGGGGCTCAGGGCAGGAGCGGGCGAGGTGCGTTTTAACCAGGGTGAAGTGAACGACAAACTTTCCTCGACTTCACTCCAAGCCCCCAACTTCCCTTCACCCCCCCCTCAGCTTTGTGCCTTCTCCCATGCTGCCCCTGTGCTGGGAGCCATCACTCTCTTCCTTCACAGCCTGGCGCCAGGGCATTTCCACCCCTCTGAGCTGCTTCCAGGGCCCCCTGAAGCCTGAGGCCTGCACATCTGCCCCCTTCTGATTGCTGCTGGCAGTTCTGCCTCTGCCAGCAGAGCCCGCGACAGTGGGCTCCTGCCGCCAACCCACTCACGGCTGGGGGCATTCATAGGCAGCAATCCCCACTCTGGGTGTGTGTCCAGCAGTAAGAGATCTTTCTGCAAAGACCCATCAATGCATGCTTGGCCCACTCCATCTTCAGCGGGCACCGCAAAGGTGGTGCCTGCCTGCCTCCTTGCCAGTTTCTCAGGCACTCCCACCATGGCAAACCGCTGTGAGGGCCCCAGCAGGAATGCCGAGCCTCCTGGTTCTGGTCACAGCGGGTCTAGACATCCCAAAGGCCTCCCACGCAGCGACCTGCTGTGGAGCTGCGGCGATGCTGGTGCCGGGGGGCAGTTCTAAGGCTGGGCCCGTCTCCTTCCCTCAGCAGTTGTGTAGAACATGAATGAGCACAATCACTGGTCCACTGGGAGCAGAGAGAGATTCCACTGCTGCTCCCCTCTGTGCCAGCCAGAACCAGGCTCTAAGTCCTTGGGTGCCCTGCTTGGGAAGCTTGTGAGCACTGGAAATACCAGAAGAGCAAATGGGATGGCCACCATCTTGGCCTGGGGACCTCCAGAGCTCAAACCAGGAGGTGCTAAAGCTTGAGCTAGAGCCCAGGCTGGGGCTGTGAAAGCCTCACCTCCTGTGGCCCATGCAACCCAGGAGGAAAACAAATCGGAAGGTTGATATCGTCCCAGGACACAGAGCAAAGCAATTGGCGTCTGGCTGCATTCTCCCCTCAGAGGCATTGTCCTCATTGAGCAGGAGAACCTGTCAGACTGGGAAGTGGTACAGACAGGACATGGCTGCCTAAGACCAGCCGTTGCCTAGGACGGGGGTCAAAGTTTCATCCATGACATAGAAGTGCCCTGCTGAAGGAGGTTCTTACTGAAGGACCAGGCTAGTGCTGGAGCTGAGGAGGAACTCTGAAGCATCCCTGACCTGTTTTGCCAGGGCAGCCCTTCCCTGGTATAGTGATCTGAAAGTGTGAGACCTGCCCCAGGTGCATGACCTGAGACACTTGCAGATGTGCACCCAGACTCACCAAAATTCAGGCCAGTCAACCCAGTAGCTGCCAAGCCCTCATGGCTCCATCCCTGGAAAGTGGACAACCAATCAGCAGCACTATGTCCTCAGCCACCTTCAGACCTGGTAAAACCCAGAAGAAGTGGTGGCCATTTCATCAGGCAAGGACAAGAATTCCCTCCCAGCATGTGAACCTCAACGAAAGGGTCTTACCAAAGGAACAGGGAGTCCCTTGAAGACCCATGTGGGGTCTGGGGGAAGTGCCCACACAAACTCAAGTATTGCAGAGCCAAGTCCTGGAATAGAAACAGCAAAGGACAGAGAACAAATAAAACTGATAGATAGATAGATAGATAGATAGATAGATAGATAGATAGATAGATAGATAGATAGATAGATAGGGTGTGGGAATCGATAGATAAATAGATCTGTATGGGAATGGATGGGTGAGGATGGAGGGATATGTGGGTCTGGATCGATGGAAGGGTCTGTATAGAGCAGGGGTGGGCAAACTTTTTGGCCTGAGGGCCACATTGGGTTTCCAAAATTGTATGGAGGGACGGTTAGAGGAGGCTGTGTCTTCCCAACCAGCCAGACGTGGCCAGGCCCCAGCCTCCTATCCGACCCCCCACACCCCTGCTTCTCGCCCCCTGACGGCTCCCCTGGGACTTCTATCCCATCCACCACCCCCTGCTCCCTGTCCCCTGACCACCCCCGGATCCCTCACCCCTGACTGCCCCCTGCCGCCCCATCCAACCCCCCCATTCCTGACTTGCCCCCCGGAACTCCTGCCCCATCCAACCACCCCTTCTCCTTGTCCCCTGACTGCCCCCAGAACCCCTGCCCCTGACTGCCCCCCACCACCCCATCCAACCCTCCCTCTCCTTCCTGACTGCCCCCCCAGGACCCCTGTCCCATCCAACCCCCCTGTTCCCCGCCCTCTGACCGCCCCGTCCCCTATCCACACCCCCACCCCCTGACCACCCCCCCCCCAACTTCCCTGCCCTCTATCCAAACCCCTCTGCTCCCTGCCCTCTTACCACGCTGCCTGGAGCACCAGTGGCTGGTGGGGCTGCAGCCGCGCCGGCCAGAGCACCAGGTCAGGACGCGGCTTTGCAACTGCACTGCGCACGCTGAGGCTGTGGGGGAGGGGGAACAGCAGGGGAGGGGCTGGGGGCAAGCCGGGGAGGGGCTCAGGGACCGGGCAGGAGGGTCCTGCGGGTTGGATGTGGCCCACTGGCCTTTGTTTGCCCACCTCTGGTATAGAGGGATAGATGGTTCTGCATGGGAATAGTTGGATGGGTCTGAATGGGAATGGGGTGTCAACCCCATCATCTGCAATAACCAATCCAGAACATTTCTCTCCTGCTCTCCCTCCCTTCTCTGCTGCAGCAGAGGGAGATCCCTGGTGGAAAGTATGCCTGGCCTTCTCCCAGTAGCACCTGCAACTGTGACAAAGCAGCAGTGACAGCTGAGTAAACTGAAGTTGGAGCGATCATATTATACCTCTGGGCACAGTAGCTGCAATTGAGAAGGCAGAGCTGTCACCATGGGCTTGGAGGCATATTGATTGATGATGGACAGAGATTCTAGCAGGAACAGCACAGACTTCCAGCTGCCAAACAGTTTCCATTCAAACTTCCTGCTTCCAGTTGCTCGAAAATTGCTGGAGCTTCGGGGCTGAAATTTCCCAAGCGTGGGCTCCTTCGTGTGAATTGATATCCAAACGTTTGAGCAAAACACTGTCAAGCCATTTTGGAGTCCAAGGAGAGTTGGGAGCCGAGGGGGGATACACTTTTCTCATTATTAAGAAAAAAAATCATCGGACTTTTGTACAGCACCTTGAGCACTGGCACAAGTGGGGGTAGGCCACTGACGTATGGTATGAGACATGCCAGTGAGAATGCATGGGCATCAGTCTGCATTATGGCCTCAGTGAAACATGCATGCCAGATGGTTAACCATGGTCACCCTAACCACAGTCAATGCTCCTGTCAGAGTCAGTGGCAAAAGTCCCCCTGGCTTCCATGGGATTGGTCACAGGATATGTTGTTGCTGCAGTTAGCCTGGGGGCTTGGCAGCTAGGTCTGAGCAGCCAGGTTAGCTTCGTCTGGGTCTGAGCGTCCCCACTGCAAGGCCCAAGCTGTGCTATGGTGTCTTCACTCACCTGTGTGCCTGCAGCAAATCCCACAGTTATTTGTGCTGTGGAGTCCTTCCTGGTCATTTGCAGGAGAACTTGTCTATCCTTTGGGAGGACTTGTGGGAAGGCCCTGGAGGCTTCTGGCTAGGAGTGCATTCCCCCAAAAGACAGGGAGTTCTCTAGATAACTAGTTCCACTTTATGGGCTTTATTGCTAGCTAAAAACTTAGGATATTACATTAAAAACTGTTAAGAGAAAACTCAGGTTGCCTTGCTGAGCATTCCAAAGCCACAGAACCTTAACTGCCCTGTGTGTGGGTATTGCCATAGGGTGTTTCTTGACAAATTCACATGTTGTTTTGCCAGCCGGGGGGGCAGCGGTGCCACGTACTGGCCTCTCAGTAGATTGCAGGGCAGGCTCACAGCGCTGGCATTTCTGGTTGCAGACCCGGCGTTTGTTCACGCCCAGCTCATCCCGGACAGCGCCGAAAGGAATGACGACAAGCTTTACTTCTTCTTCCGGGAGAAATCAGCTGATGCCCCACAAAGCCCTGCTGTCTACTCCCGCATCGGGCGCATCTGCTTGGTATGTACCTGGCTCCCCACGGCGCCTCCTGCTGGGAATGGCTGGGAGCTCCCCCCACAGACAGAGTTCCTGCTCCATTCTCTACAGTGCCCCCAGCTGGGCCTGGAATACCAGCAGTGTCCCCCACAGATTGAGCTCCTGCAGGGAAAAGATGGGATTTGAATAGAGTAGCTGGGGACCAGCAGTGTCCCCACACAGCCAGCGCTCCTGCCCCCTCCCCACAGTGCCCCCTGCTGGGAGAGGCTGGGGATGGAATACGGGGTTGCCCCCCACAGCAAGCATCCCCTGTCCCACTCCCCACAGCGTCCACTCCTGGGAGAGGCTCGGGCTGGAGCAGCTGGGAGCTCCCCCACAACCAATGCCCCCTGTCCCACTCCCCACAGCACCCCCTGCTGGGGGAAGCTGGGGCTGGAGTAGTTGGGGAACCCCCAACAGCCAGCACTCTTGCCCCTCCCCACAGCGCCCCCTGCTGGGAAGCCCAAGCTAGGAGGACGAGCCTAGCTCACATTCTGGTTCCCCGGGTGCCTGAGGATGGTATTTTCCCCCCTGGTTTAGAATGACGACGGAGGTCACTGCTGCCTTGTCAATAAATGGAGCACGTTCCTGAAAGCCCGGCTCATCTGCTCCGTTCCAGGGCCTGACGGGATCGAAACGCACTTCGATGAGCTCCGTAAGGGCCGGTGGGCAGGGGGCACGCCGGGCAACGAGGTGTCTGGGTGGGGCAGCGGCTGACCACAGACCCCAGAGGTGGTAGCAGACAGAACCTCTGTGCTGCCCGAGTAGTCACTGCAGGCTGCAGCGTCTCTGAGCAGGGGCATCGCTTGTGGCAGGGCAGCGCCACATCTAGGTTCCCAGCGCCTCCTGGGGAGCTCACAGGGGCCTTCCTACCCAGCCAGGAGCCTCTCTGGAGGCTCCCAGCGAAGTCGCTCTCGGCAGAGGCTGGGAGGCAGTGCAGTCCCCAGCAGCTTGTCAGCGCCTGCCGTGGCACGTGATGGATGGGCTGCACCCGGGAGCAGGATGCGCCATCCCATTGCCAGCTGGTTCCCTGCGCTTTGCTTGCCTAGATCAGAGGCTCCCCTGGTTCCTGAGGGGCACTGTCCCCAGCCTGCATCTTTCCCACTGGTGCACGCCCTGCAGCCAAAGCATCCCCTATGCGACAGTGCCCTGGGCGAAGCCAGATGTTCCCCCCACAGCCAGCACTCCTGCCCTGGTCCCCACAGCAGCCTCTCCCCTGATGGGAGAGACTGGAGTAGCTGGGAGCCCCCCGACAGGCAGCGCTTCTGCCACGCTCCCTGCAACGCCCCCTGTTCTCTCTCCATCTGCCCTGTGTCCCCCAGTCCCTGCAGAGTTCTGGGGCATCTCCCCAGCTGTTGATGCTTTCTCTTCTCCCCTCAGAGGACGTGTTCATCCAGCAGACCCAGGACGTGAAGAACCCCATCATCTACGCCGTGTTCGCTGCCTCTGGGTGAGCCCACTGGGAGGGGTTGGGGATGGGTCTCCGTGGGGACCAAGCTGGGTGCAGCCCCTGCTGAGTGAGTGCATCCCCATGGGAGCGGAGGGGGGAGCACTGCAGCAGGCCCTGAAGCCCAAGGATGACATGCAGGGGTTTCTAGGGGGAGGGGAGTAGATATCGGAGGTATCACACTCGGGGGCAAACCCTCCTGGTGCAGGGCACGCTGGTCAGGCTTGTCCCACCACAGGCAGAGGGTTCTGGTTCAGGCCTGTCCTAGCACAAGCAGAGAGGGTTCGGGGTCAGCCCTGTTCCAGCACGGGGCAAAGAGGTTTCTGAGTCAGTCCTGGCACGTGCAGAGAGGGTTTGGGGTCAGGCCCATGCCAGCACTGGCAGAGAGGGTTCTGGCTCAGGCCTGTCCCAGCGTGGGCAGAAAGGGTTCAGAGTCAGGCCCGTCCCATCGCTGGCAGGGAGGATTCAGGGTCAGGTCCCCCCAGGTGAGAGCAGTGCCCCGTTGGGCCCTGTTCCCCACTTCCCCTGGCAACCCCCACCTCCCTACCAGCATGGCCTCCCGTTGCACCATCTTAGCTCAGGCAGGAGGGGCTCCATGGCCTGAGACTCCCTCTTTTCTGCCTGCACCAGGCCCAGGAGTGGGGATCCCTCTCGGCTTCCCTCCCCAACCTTGGGAACCCCGCAGGGCCGGGTGCTGGCCTGGGCAACGTTGGGCTCTGTCCCATCTTGGCATGGGCCTGGGGCTGGCACTCCCTATCTAGCCACATGCTCCCCGGGGCTTCGTGGGCGCAAAGGGGTCTCTTTCCTCCCACAGAAGCCTACCCCACCCATCCAGCTGATCACTGAAGGGGGGCAGGGGTATCGGGGGGGTCTTGCACTACCCCAGAGGAGGGGATCCCAGCCCGACTGGGGATTCACCCAATGTCACCCAGAGCCCCGGAAAGGATCACTCCCACCCTCGGCAGGGAGGCACGCACTAGTTCACAGATGGGGAAACTGAGGTACAGAGAGGCTAGCGACTGGCTCAGGGTCACACTGCAGTCCTGCGGCAGAGCCTGGCATGTAACCCAGGAATCATGGCGCCCAGGCTGGTGCAGTAAGCATGCGGGCAGCCTTGCGGTGTGCCAGCTGGCGTCACTGAGTCAGTCCTAGCTGGAGAGGTCATGCCAGGCAGCCACTGAGGACCTTGATCCCTCCGGATCTGCCTCTGCAGAGATCCAGGATCACAGGCATCTGGGTGGCGCTGTTTGCTGGACATGTCCGGGCATCGCTGTGCCATCACCTTCACAGCCAGTGGTGCCCGGACACCCCCATGCCAGGCTAGGATCCTGGCACCCTGGGAACAGGTCCCTCACATACGTTTGGGATGAGCGTTTCTGGATCCCACATGAGCAGAGCTCGAGGTGCTGTCCCAGTCCAACTGGGCAGGGTCCCTGCCAGGCAGGGCAGGGCGGGGCATGGGTTCAGGGTGGGTCTGACAGAGGTGCCCCCTGGGGATAACGTGATGCTCCCCCGCACCTCAGGTCCGTGTTCAAAGGCTCCGCCGTGTGCGTGTACTCCATGGCTGACATACGCATGGTCTTCAATGGGCCCTTCGCCCACAAGGAGGGACCCAACTACCAGTGGATGCCATACACAGGCAAGATGCCCTATCCGCGCCCAGGCACCGTAAGTACAATCGGGGCCTCCTGCCAGAGCACCCAGCCAGGGCAGGCAGTAGGAGAGCGGGGATCCTCTGGGGATGGCTGCAGTGATGGGCACCGGAGGTGTGGGGCCAGGGGCACAATCACAGAGTGCCCGCCAGTTTGTGTGTGTCTGGGCATGGACCGCCCCTGTGCAGAGACTCTGATGCTTCCTCACCAGGAGTTCTGGGACCTGCCTCACTAAAGGGCCTAGAGCGACTCCCCCTGGTGTCTCCCAGGAGAGCCAGGGGGTGGCAGACAGGCTGTGGCCATGAAGGGATGCACCTTGCCAGGGCTGGGGGGCTGGGCAGGGGGATGAGGGAAGGGCCACGAGATAGTGCACTCAGTGCCAAGGGAGTGGGGCTGGCACTGCCCAGCCCTGTGGGGAGGTGGCTGGCTCCAGGCCTGGCCATGGCCTGTAGAGCCTTTCACCACTGCCTGGGCTCCACCTAGCCTAGCCTGGCTTGGGATCAGCCCCCTGTCAGCTTAGTGCTGGGTGGGCTGGGGTCCCCTGCCGGGACCCCCCCACTCTGAACACCCTCAAGCCCCTCTTCCCAGCAGAGAGGCCAGGGACTGAGAGGGGCCCAGGGAATTGGGCAAAGGGCACTTTGGCCCTGTGGCTGCCTGGCCACCTGCTGCGAGGAGAGGGCATCCATGTGTGGGGTGCTCAGCCCAGTGCTGGCCCCATGCTGGCCTTGTGCCAGGGCTCTGCCAGCCCCTGCACCAATGGCACGCAGCCTGCTCTGCCAGGGCAGAGGCTCCCCCTGTACCACAACCTCCGGCCTGGGCAGAGGAAGGGGCAGGGCACAGGGGCAGCACGGTGGGGAACGAAGGAGTCAGAGGCTCCCCACAAAGGGGGCACACATGAGATGGTTGCTTTGGGTCGGGGTCTCATGGCACCTGATGCTGGCTGCAGGATGGGTGCGCCAATGCCTTCAGGAAGGGAGAGGTGGGCAGAACAATGCCCAGGGGCATGAGCTGTCATGCAGGATGGGTGGGGTGGGGGCCATGCCCTGGGGGCATAGGGGGGCCGTGCCATGTGGTGGGGTGGGGGGGCTGTGCATAGGGAGGCAGGCCATGCTTTGGGGTGGGGGGCTGTACATTGGGAGGCAGGCCATGTTTTGGGGTGGGGGGCTGTGCATCGGGAGGCGGGCCTTGCGGTGCGGCGGAGGGACCATGCCTCAAGGGACTGGGCGGAGGCGGTGTCATGGGGTGGGGCGGGGGGAAGCAGGGCCATGGGGTGGGGCTTGGGGAAGCCAGGCCACTGGGTGTGGGGAGCGGGGGACAGGTCGTGGGGTGGGGAGCAGGGGGCGGCCGGGCCGTGGTTGAGAGGAGGGAGGTCAGCCTGCCCGCTCTGTGTTTCAGTGCCCAGGAGGCACCTTCACTCCTTCCATGAAGTCAACCAAGGATTACCCAGACGAGGTGATCAACTTCATGCGCACGCACCCGCTGATGTACCATGCCGTGTACCCCGTGCACCGCCAGCCGCTGGTCGTGCGCAGCAACGTGCACTACAAGTTCACCACCGTGGCCGTGGACCAGGTGGACGCAGCCGACGGGCGCTATGAGGTGCTTTTCCTGGGCACAGGTACCCGCAGACGTGCGCTGGAGACACACACATCATGGACCCACACAAGCCATGTGGGAGGGCACACTGCCTGGCACTGGGCATGGCAGGGAGCTTAGTCCTGCTCTGGGCCGACTTGCCAGGTCAGCGTTGCCAGGGCTGCCCTGCCGCGCTCTCCCCGTCAGACGTGCCTGGCCACTGCGAGAGCTGACGATCAGCTCGTTGACAGAGGAGCCTGGCAGAGAATTCCATCTGGAGTCCCCCCACCCAGGGGCTGCCCCAGAGCCTGTTCCGGGGGTGCAGCAATCCAGGCCAGGCTGTGTATTCAGGATGAATGGAGTGGGTGCCCAATGGTGACTCCAGCCTGGCACAGAGCCGGGGAGGGTGTGGGGATCTGGAGGTGAGTGTTCGGCCCCCCCAGGCTCCTGGTGTGAACAATGCCCAGGGGCATGAGCTGTCCTGCAGGATGCATGGGGAACGTGGTGCCCTCAGCAGGGACTCAGCCACCAGAACTGGGCCGCACCAAGCAGGGCTGTAGGTGGGGCAGGGTCTGCACTAGCTGTTGGTTCCTCATCCCTCATGGAGGGATTGCGCCAGGCTGACGCCCTGGGCAGATCCCAGCCCACCCTGTACTGGGCAGCTTGGCGCTTGCTGGACCACGTGGGTCTGGGTCATCTGGGGCCGTGGGGGCAGGGTCTGTGCCAGGCCCCCAGGGAGCCAGCCTAGGAGGCAGGGGGCTTGTTTAACTGGGGGGCTCGTGACAGAGCAGCCAGCACTGCCTCGGCCCCTCTCAGGGAGCCGTGCCCTTGGCTGCCAGCCGACCTGGGGAGCCCAGCCGGCGCCACCACACAGGTGGCAGGGAATGCTAACGACCCAGAAAGATCCCATTTGCTAACGAATGCGCTGCCTCCTGGCCAGCTGTTCACTCAGCCGCCCCTGCACACGGCAGCCTGGCCAAATCCTCCCAACACCTGTCCCGCCCATCAGGGAATTTCCTCCCTGCCCCAGCATCAGTGTAACGAATCGCCAGAGCTCAGCTGTTCCTTCCCCCAGGGGTAGGGGCTGCAGCAGCCTGTGGGATGGCGTGGGGGGTTCGGGCTGGTTCCCGGATGGAGACGACTGCGCCAACGGCACTTGATGGTAGTGAGGCGCTCCCACACCAGTGCCCCTGCCCTGCCAAGGGTGGGGTGCCCAGCAGGATGTGGGGGAGGGGACAGGGCTTCCCCATCGCTGCCTGAGCCAGCTCTCCCCAGGCCCAGGATCAGAGTCCCAGACCAGCATCAGAGTCCCAGACCAGCCTCGCTCTGCGTTGCGCAGCTATGTTCTGTTCATCCGCCGCTGCACTGCCCCCCAGAGGCAACTGGTTTGAGTGACGGGAGTTGGCCTGTCCCACCCCCAGTCAGTGGCATGTGCTGTGAAGTGCTGGGCGGCCCGCGGGTGAGGGGCCAGCCGGTGCCATGTGCGTGTGTTCGTTGGAGCAGCATGTTCTGCAGCGCCCCATGTGCACGGGGCCCATCGCGGGGGCCCACACCGAAATCAGAGCAGACGCCGGCAGCTGTGTGAGTTCCTCCTGCTGGTGCTGCCTGCAGGGCCCCCCGCCTCTCCCTGGCACTCCAGCGGAGGCTTCGCCTCAGAAATCCCCAGCCAGGCGCAGCGGCTGCTGGAGAGATCCAAGCACCTGAGGCGGCACTGGGCAGCTGGATCCCCCTGAGGAAGATGAAGCCGTGACTCTGGGGTTCAGTCCAGGCCCCGGAGTCCTGTGCTGGCTAAAAGCCTCGTGCTGATCCAGCCTCAGCTGTTTATAAAGCTGTGATGGCGGGGTGGCCTCTCCCTTCCCACGCCATCCCCATCGGCATGGTCCCGCGCCCCAGGCTGTGGCAGGGCAGAAGGGTCCATCCCGCATGGCACTGAGTGCTGGCTGTGCCTTGCAGATCGCGGCACAGTCCAAAAGGTGATCGTCCTCCCCAAGGACGACTTGGAGACCGAGGAGCTGATGCTGGAGGAGGTGGAAGTGTTCAAGGTAACGTCTCCTGGTTCTGCGTGCATTGCACTCTCAGGCCTTGCTGTGCCCCCCCCTGCCATGGCCTGGGACAGTTCTCCCTCCCTCACCCCCAGCATCAGGGAACCTCCCTTTCTCCTGGGCAATGTAGCGGCAATGTGCAGCAGGCTGCCACTGCAGCTTCATCTGCGGCTTCCCAGCAGGCACCTGGGCCCTGATCCAGCACTTGCTGGTGTCAGTAGGGGGTGTCACGGGGCCCCGTCGGCTGCTATGAGGTGCCCAGTCCCATGGGCTCTGACCTCCGGCATGGTCAGTGGCAGGAGGTGAGCACGCCATTCGGCGGGCTCCACAGAAAGTATGAGAGCCCTGCTACTTCAGCTTGCTGAGGGAGCGCTCCAGTAGATCATGTGCCAGCAGCCTGTTCCCGGCACTAAGGGGCCGGGGTTGGAGCCCTGGCTCCCTGGGGCATGTGTGACTGCTCCAGGGAGAGGGTTTGGTGCCAATGAATTTGTTTCTGACTCTGTCTCAGCCCTTTGCTCCCTGTGATCAGGAGCAGCTCCGAGGGGGCTGAGTGACCCAGACTAACCGCCGTGCTCTCATTCCAGGTTCCAGCCCCCATCAAGACCATGACCATCTCCTCCAAGAGGGTAAGCCGGTGGTGCGCTGCAGGGAATGGGGTCCTCACGGGTGTCGCCCACCTGGTGCAGATGCCAGCCCAGCCACGGCACTCCCGCCTGCTGAGGAGGGATGGAGATTCCACGTGTTCCTAGCTGGACAGGGACTCTCCGAGCGTCCCCAGGGGCTTCCACCTTCATTCGCGTAGCGCGGCCCGTGGGCTCAGACGGGCTCTGTCGTTAACTCGCAGGGGCGGGCGTGGAAAGGGTCACTCAGAGATCTGAATGCCCAGCCCCGCTTGCGGAAGCACCAGGGGGCCGGCTCGGCGGGCGATGCGCAGGGCGTACCAGAAACCCGCTTGCTCTGCCTCAGCCAGCCCCGGGGAGAGGGGATCTGCTGGGAGGGTGCAGTTCCCGGCCATTTCCGGACAAGCACCGCACTCTCAGAGAGGCAGCCCCTCCTCGTTCCCAGCTGGTGGGTTTGGCACCTGGGACAGTGCAGGGTCTGCCGCAAGGGGGCATCTCACCACGTCCCCTTTGCCCCCCACAGCAACAGCTGTACGTGGCCTCGGCCATAGGCGTGACCCACCTGGCTCTGCACCGCTGCGACGTGTACGGGGAGGCCTGTGCCGACTGCTGCCTGGCCAGGGACCCCTACTGCGCGTGGGACGGCAAGGCCTGCTCCCGCTACTCAGCATCCTCCAAGAGGTAGGGGCCAGCCGCACTGCAGGGGCGGTTGTACCAGGGCCCAGCACAGGGCCAAGCAGTGCTAGAGGGAGGGGCTTTTATACGGGGGGACCCTGAGCCCTGCATGGGTTCTCGTACTCACTGGCTGGGTTTGCCAACAGGGCGCTGGGAGACAGCTTGGGGGGGCAGGGGACTCTGTATCTTCGATGAGAGGCAGGATTGGGGCTTAGCCCCAATCCCCGCGGTACGTGGAGGGGGGTGACCGAGCCCCGCACACTGCAGCCGGTTGGGGACACCCTGAGACTGTGAGCAATTTTCCATCTGTGCCTTCTCCCCCTCCCACAGGCGGAGCAGGCGCCAGGATGTCCGACACGGCAACCCCATCCGCCAGTGCCGGGGCTACAACTCCAATGGTGAGTAGGGCCAGCTGGCCACCCTGCCCCTCCTCACACACACGGCGGGTACGTCTGGGACACGAGGGATGGAGAAAGACGGCGAGATGTGGAATATGTAGATTAGATGTCCTCTCCTAACTCTCTGGGTTGGGTCGGGTTCGCAGCATTGTGCTTATTCCATTGTCCGACCCCCCGTCTCCTCTGCCCCACTCCAGCCAACAAGAACACGGTGGAGGCTGTCCAGTACGGGGTGGAGGGCAGCACAGCCTTCCTGGAGTGCCAGCCCCGCTCCCCGCAGGCCACCGTCAAGTGGCTGCTCCAGAAGGACAACAGTGACCGGCGGAAAGAGGTAGGAGTGTGCGGCGCTGGGGGGTGCCTGGAGGGAAAGGCCCTGCAGCCCACTGCCTGCTGTCTGGGGCGGGGGGCCAGGCTGGCATAGCGGGGGGCTGCAGGTTGGGACTGAGGCAGTGGGGGAGGCTTGCATGGAGCCTGTCTCTAATCTCCCCTCCCGCCCTCTGATGACCCCTGCCATGCCCGACTGTATCTCGCCCGTTCTAATGCTCTGGCCCTTGGCCTCTCTCCCGTCCAGCTGCGCACAGAGGGCCGGGTGCTGCGGACGGAGCAGGGGCTGCTCCTACGCTCCCTGCAGCTCTCAGACAGCGGTCTCTACTCCTGCACGGCCACTGAGAACAACTTCAAGCACACGGTGGCCAAGGTGCAGCTGCACGTGCTGAGCAGCGAGACGGTGCACAGCGTGCTCTTCCAGTCGGAGGCGCCCGCCCTGCAGGCCGACGGCGACGTCTCCACCTCTGCGCTGGGCATGCGGGCTGGCCTCCCTGGTGCCCCCGGGCCCCATTACCAGGACCTGGTGCAGCTCCTCACCCAGCCTGAAATGGGACTCATCAACCAGTACTGCCAGGGCTACTGGCGGCATGCAGCCTCCAGCCACAAGGAGGCGCTGGCCAGCCTCAAAGCCAAGGAGCTGCAGGAAGAAAAGAAGCCTCGAAACCGCCGGAATCACCAGCCAGACGTGGACCAGCTCACATGAAACTGCCACCAGGGACTTTGTAATAACAGTGCTATATTCCCCCCCCCTTTTAATATTAAAAATATCTATAAATATATATATAAATATATATATATACACACACACTCCCCCACTCCCTTTCAAGACAGTATTTATTTGTAGGTTGTACATAGTCCATGGGAGATGCAGTCCCACCCTATTGCCCCATGGCCTTTGGGCAAGATAGCCAGGTTCCCAGAGGCACCCTGGCCAGCAGCTTGTCCTTTTCTCTTCCTAATGTCTACGGTACTGTAAAATAAAAGGCAGGCACCAAGTATGGGGGTGGGGCTATGGTAAGATCCCCTCCCCCAGTCCCTCATCAAACCAGAAGCTCTTGATGCTAACGTAGGTATGAGCCAGCGCAGGACCCTCTGCCCACTCTCTTGATCCCAAGCCAGAGTGCTGGCACCTGGAGGGGCCACTCTCTCTCTCTAGCTGGGAGGGGGTGTCTCTGAGCTGGGGTGCCATTGGCAGAGCTGCCATGTTCCCTCTCCCCCTGACATGGGACCCGTTGGGGAGCCTGGGTTTGGTCTGTTTCCCACCAGTGCCCTGGGCATTGATGTGTGGTGGGCCCGAGCTGGGGGGGTGTCTGACTTAGGAATGGGAAGTCCATGCTGGGGGTGGAACTTCTTGGCCACTGACAATATCCTTCCCCTATTGGCACTGGACTAGGAAGGGACTGGCAGGGATAGAGGGAAGTGGTCCCCTCAAGGGGACTGGGTCCCCAGGAGCCTGGCACCCATCGTGCATGCACGCCCAGTTGCACGTCACTCCTGGGTGCCTCTTGAATTCCCAGGGAAGCACCATCGTTGGGCTAAACCCCATGGGGGTCGAGGGCACAAGGCCAGGCTTTTCCACCCACTGCTGGCCACACGTCACTCCTGCAAGGGGTATGCTGGGAATGATATCACAGGCTCCGCCTGGGCTGATTGGTGGATGATGTGATGCCCTCAAGGAGGTGGAGCTACAGTGGTATAAAAAGCTGGCTCTGCAGCCGGATTAAATCAGGGATTCAGGAAGCAGGAGGGGTGAGGATGTCAGCTGCAGCTGTGCTCCTCTGGTGCCAGCTGCACCTAGCAAGCATGCCCCTTCCCGGGCTCTGCTGCGGTGGCACCTTGGAGGGTACTAGGGAGACTGGGCATAGGGGCCAAAGCTGCTCTCTGGTGGAATGGATGGGGCAGACACTCCTCCTCCCTCCCCCTCGCCCCCCCCCCACCCTCGGAGGTGGGAAGAATTCCTTTTGGCAGGTGGGGTGAAGTGAGGAAAGGACAGAGCAAGTAGGGGGATGGAGCGAGGCAAGGCGGGGAGCAGGCAAGGTGGGGAGCAGAGGCAGGCAATGGGTACCTGGACAGCCGGGTCCCCCCCCACTGAGTGACCTTGGGCAAGTCACTCCCCTATCTGTGCCTCAGTTTCCCCATCTGATTACTTCTCATTATTTATTTAGCCATGGCCCCACTGCCACTGGACCTGGCAACACCAGCCTCTCTGCTGTGCGGCTTCATGATGGGGGGGGGGGGCGCAGGGGGAGAGAGAAGGGTCAGTATTGAGTTGTGAGGCATTGTGGGTAGTGAAGTCCTGGGGCGCCCGGTTGCTACCCTGGCCCATGTGTGGGAGCTGAGTAGTGGGTCTTCTGGCAGCTACACTGATTGGGAGCTAGAGCAGAGTGTATGTGGGGAGGGGGCCAGTGGGATGGGGGGGTGAAAAAAGGGGTTGTGGGAAGGGGCTGACTGGCTGACAGCGCTGCCTGCATTCAATCCCTAGGCCTAGTGGCCACAGCCACACTCACCCTGGCAGACCCCAGAGTGCTTTGCAAACTGGACTGACAGGGGCACTTCACCCACTGCTAAAATGCAGCTACCTCTGGGGAGGGGCAGGTTACAACAGAGCCTCTGCCCCACAGCTTAAGTCAGGACTCCAAAACTGACCCGGGAGCTGGGGGAGGAGGCAAATTGGGCTCTAGGTGCCTGGGGCAGGCATTGGCTGCTGCTGCTGCCATGGGAGTTTTAAGGCCTGTGCTCAAAGCACCTGCCCAAAAGGGCTGTTAATTGGTGGGGAGAGACCGAGCCTGGGGTTTAACCTGGCTCCCTTGCTCCCAGCCTGTGCTGCCCGGGGTCACCACTAGGGGCCAACCTCAGCCCTGGGTTCAGCAGGGGGCCCAGCTCCTGGGCTCACAGAGCCACTGGCATGTTGCCCACACCACCCCAATAGTTCAGGCCAAGTCCGTGGCTGGTGCAAAGTAGCGTGGCGTCATGGCCTGCCGTGGGTATTGGTGGGGCTTCGCCCATTCCCACCAGCTGAGGATCCGGCCCTGGCCCCTCCGGAGTCAGGTGCCCATCCTCCCACTAGCGTGGCATGGTCCTCTTGCACATGGGCACTCCATGGCCACTAGTGGCTGTAGCGCTGCCCGCTGGGGAAATCCAGGCAGGCTGGAGCAGTGGAGCCAAGCAGGGCAGGAAACGCTACCCAGACAGCACACAGGGAGGTTACTCAGGCTCAGGGCAAGGGGGCTGGCCCAAGGGTTGGGGACACAAAGAGGACTGGGTACCAGTCTGGGAGAAGGCACCATTAGCCACCAGGGTCACTGCCCCATCCGAGCCACGATGTGAGGCTGCACACTAAGGAAGCCAGGGCAGTACTCACTGCACTAAGTGCTGATTCTCCCTGGACAGGGGAAGACTATAGCACGGACATCAGCTCTCCCCAAGCAACTCCTGGCTTTCTGGGGCTGGAACCAGCTGCCTTAGGTGGCAAGTATATGGGGCTATAGAAATTAGTGGCTAGCCCCATGGAGGTCTGTAATGAAAGCTAGGCAATACTATGGATAACTACCCATGATTTCAGATGAGAGAAGAACATGTGACAGGGTCATCATGCTGGGACACACTTCACCCTGCAATTGCACCACAGTCAGAGTGCCTGGGGGCTGTGCCCATCTCTATTCACATGACAGGCATCCGAGAGTCATCCATTGGTTTTCCTCTGAGATAACAATGCCAGGTTCCTTACCCACACACACCCCTCATAGGGCTCAGCTCCCCCCAGCTGAGGGAGGGTGAGGGAGCAAAGCATCCTGGGGTCAGCTATGCAAATTCCAAAGCAGGAAGTCAGGCCCTGAGAGCCCGCTCCCAGCTAGTTGAGACTCAAAAGGGTACACCATGGGCCATAGGGACAGCCAGGGAGAACTCACCCTTACCAGGCCAAGCCAGTGAGGCAGGAATTGTGCCCTTTGCTTCCCAATGCTGCTAATGCCCAGTGTTAACCACTTCCAAGCAGGCCACTCATGAGATTGAGTAGCCCACAGCTCATGTGGTGTGTACTGACAGTTACCCGCTAGGGCCATGCCCCCCGTCCCCCACCCCATGGGACAGCTGCCTGTGCCGGTTCAGACCAAGCGCATCTGCTCTCTGGTGTAAATAGTTGTAAATGGCAAATGTAACGGAAGCGGAGCAGGCAGCAAGGCTGAGCTCCAAGGCACATCACACCTGTACTGTGAACTTCCTGTGGCTGGGAACGAACTAATAAACAACGGCTTTGTTTATGGAGACGCTGCCTCTTCCTTGAACCTTCTCTCAGCCATGTTCTGTCTAGAAAGGCCTTGAGCTAGTGGGAGTTCTCTAGTGATCAGAGCAAGCCATTGTCCAGCTGTGCCAGTGCACATGTAAGCCACCGGCGCGCTGTGTTATGAGTCCCCCTCTAGTGGCTGCTCCCCTAGGAGGATAAGAGCCTACTACTGCTACTAATGCATGGAGTTGCTCCTTTAGCTAACATAATAGCAACCCAGGCTTTTAGTGCTCACAGTTCGGGGTTTGATGTCCAGCAATGATTCTTAGCGGCCGAGGCGGGGTGGGTATATGTGGCCATGTGCCGTGCAGCCAGACACCACAGTCCTCAGCTAAGCACGTGTGTGGCATCAAGTGTAGCACTCAGGCGAGCCCGCTCCGAGCTCAGCAACCTAGAGGAGACAATTCACCACTCAGCCACTAGAGGGTGACAAACCCTGGAGCAGAGCCCATCCAATCCAGTAGAGGGCAGCAGCGGGTGTAATACACCTCAGACCCCAAGTCTAAACAGCTGGTTAGCACATATTTGTGCAGTGACACTGTGGGCAAACGCCAGCGAGAGGACTTCCTCCCCCCGCCCAACTGCGCTACATCAGACGGTGACACCCCAAGAGAGCAGCACAACCTGTCAGTAGTGGGCAGGGAGGCTTGGGAACTCAGAGCTGCTCCCAAGGCAAAGGGCTGGGCCAGCACCACACAGGTGGGCTTTTTCTGCATGCAAAAGAATTGCTTGGAAAAAAGCAGCTGCAAACAAAGCAAAACACTGCAAAACTCACAGCAGTTTCCTTTGTGAAAAGAATTCAAAATGAAAAATGTCAGACTTTGGGGGGACAGTCACTTTTGATTCATTGGGGACCGTTCACGGTTTGGTGCATATGAAATGCTCACACCATGGGCTGGGGCAGATGAGAAAATCAAAAACTCTGTCATTCCATTGAGGTGGGGAAAGCCCTTTTTGCTTCTCTCGCCCCACTTGTCTAGGCAGATGGGGGGGTCACCCAAATGCAAGGCCCTCTTTGACAATTATCGCATTGAAATTTTCATTTAATCCCCCCCACCAGGTAACAGCTAATGAAATTAAAACGTTCCTTTCTTCTGCTTTTTTCCCAAATGCTGAGTTCTGCACCAGTTCTAACACTGACCCTGATCTGGCGCATCTTGGTTCCGCTGGCAGGGCCCAGGGGACGGGCCTGAGGGGCCCGAAGAGGGGTCGCATGGGGCACACAAACCCTCAGGTGGAGAAGCCAAGGTCTACACCCTGGGCCATCGGCTAGCAGCCAGTGCTTCCTACGTAGTGCACCCCAATTTAATGCTGGGGACAAGGACTAACCCTGAGCCAGGGCAAGTGGGGGCCTGAGCCTGCTCCCCCCTTCCGCTCCGCCACCCCGGGCTAGTTCTGATTTTGTCAGGAGGGAGCTTGTAGGGAGCCAGGGTGGCTCCCCTCCAAACCAGAGGGTAAAGAGCCACCCTTTCAGCCTGAGTGGGCGGGGCCAGGCCAAGCTTCCGCCAATCCCCGGAAGGGGAAGGGTGGGACAGGAAGTACAAAGGGCGGGGACCTCTGCCCAGCGAGGAGAGCACCAGGGAGGGAGACAGACACAGGCTGCTCCCTCGTGATCCTGCTGCTGACCCAGGCGAAGCCCTGGGCAAGGAGGAGCCTGACCGGGAGGAAGGCCTGTGGCAACCAGGGCTGCCAGCCGCTGAATACCCAGAGGACCTGGAGGGGCCTGACTGCAGCCTGGGCCAGCGTGAGTCCGGTACAGAGGGGGAGCGGGAGTGGCCCGCAGCGGAATACCCGGCGGAGATGGAGGGACCGGAGCGACCCGCCTGAGAGACCGGGTAGGAAGTAGCCCAGGGGCCGAACTGCACCGTGGGGTGGGTGTGTTTGGTCAGTGGGCGTGGACGGCCCTGCTGACCCAGCGGCGGGACTTTCGCTTCCCTCCACTGTCAGGGCCCTGGGCTGGAAGGCAGTGGAGTTGGGTGGCCTGCGTTCCCCTACCCCGGCCCCCCCCGCCTGAGGGGCGCGCTACTGACTTGTGCCTGCACACCTTCCCCGCTAATTCCCCAATGCCCGGAAGGTGTGGCTGAGGCCTGCCACGGAGACCATAGCTCTCCATCGCCCCTAGGGGCTCAGAGGACTGACCGACACCTGTCACAGAGCTCTTACCCAAACCATCTCCCTGGCTGGAGCACACAGGCCCCGCAGACTCACTCTCCCCTCCAGCACAGGAAATCCTGTCAGTCTGGGACGCTCATGGGTGGTTGGGCTGTCCCTGTGCTGCAGTGAGGTTTTCGGTCTCTGGGGCTGCTACTCAGCCTCTCACAACACCCCTATGTAATGTTTTAATGAATCTTGTCACGTATAGTATGAAGAAGTAGATGTAGAATGTTAAATATGTTAAATTTTCTTTTGATAATTGTTAATGGGTTTTTAATATGACATGATGTGGGTATATGTTGTTAATATGGGCCCGGATGTATCAGTTTGAATATTGTGGTTGTGGCAGAATTTTAGCAAGGGGGAATGTAAGAGGACTGTTGTCCCCTTACTAAAACTCAATGGGGGTGTTTTAGTTGGCTAGCTCCCAGTACCAAAAGGAAGGGGAAGGGTCAATGGGGAATCGGGACCCTGAGACTGACAGTCCCCAGGAACAATGGGGAGAGGCCAATGCTCCAGGTCAGCCTGATTGACAGGGCGGGCTGAGCTAAGAAGAAAGCAGGGTCCCGAGCTGAGCTGGGGAGCAGAGCCGTGCCAGATCCAGAGCGGCCAGAAAAGCAGCCCAGGAAGCAGGTCAGTGCTGGGAGCAGAGTCACAGAAGCAGCCTGCAGAGCAGACCTGTCCTGGGAGCAGAGCTGCAGCAACCAGAGCCAGAAGGGTCCGAGAAGCCACCCAGGGAGCTGGAGACAGAGAAGCAGCCGTGCTGAGGCAGAGTGGAGCTGGAGCTGAGACAGAGTGGTGGAGCTGGAGCAGTCAGGAGCTGGGTGAGGTGAGCAGCTGGGAAGAGCGAAGGGGATCCTGGGCAGCAGGCCCAGCACCGGGAGACGCCCCCAGCCAAGACACCTGGCAAGCCAGACTTGGAGGGAGATTGTAATCCCGACAGGGCGGGGTGACACTGGGAAGAAGGGTCCTGCCACCTTGTGACGTTATTGAACTGATAGAACATTGTTGCAACCAAGGTCCTATAGCGGCATCAGATCTTGTATAAAGGGGTCAAATAAGGAGTCCAAAACGAGGTTATGGTTTGCTGGTTAGGATTATGCTATCTGTTTGCATGTATCATTTTTGTATTTAAAGATATAAGTATTGGCTCTATACTGCCTGTATTCCAAACTTATGCTATGCTTCTGGGTGACACCCCAGACAAGTTGGTGTCAGCTCTGCCTAGCCTGCTTGATGGCCCATTAAGGACCAACAACTATACAACTGACCCATTGAGAGAAAGCAGCTACACCTTGGGACTCAGCAAGGCACGCAGGGACCTGCCTATGGACAGAACTGAGGTTTTTCCAGGCCATGTGATGGACAGCTTGTCTTTGGGACACAGAAAGAAAGACCACCTGGCGAGAGAATATAAAAAGCTGCTGCAGCTCCTCCATCTTGTCTTCAATCCTGCTTCTTACCTGTGGAGGAACTTTGCTACACTGAAGCTCTGAACCAAGGACTGAAAGACCCATCCCAGCTGTGGATGTGCTCCAGAGACTTGATTTGAACCTGCAGTTTATTCCACCACTGCTACAAGCCTGAACCAAGAACTTTGCCATTACTGTATGTAATTGATTCCATTTAACCAATTCTAGCTCTCATCTCTTTTTCCTTTTATGAATAAACCTTTAGAGTTTAGATTCTAAAGGATTGGCAACAGCATGATTTGTGGGTAAGATCTGATTTGTATATTGACCTGGGTCTGGGGCTTGATCCTTTGGGATCAAAAGAACCTTTTTTCTTTTACTGGAGTATTGGTTTTCATAACTATTCATGTCCATAACGAGTGGCACTGGTGATGATACTGGGAAACTGGGCTGTCTAAGGGAATTGCTTGTGTGACTTGTGGTTAGCCAGTGGGGTAAAACCAAAGTCTTCTCTGTTTGGCTGGTTTGGTTTGCCTTGGTGTGCATAGAAATCCCAGCCTTGGGCTGTAACTGCCCTGCTTTAAGCAATTTCTCCTGAAATGGCACTCTCAGTTGGGTCCCGCCAGAACCAGCCTCGTTACAGTGTCGTAGTCATGCTTGGATCCACAGAACCTGGTCAATTAAACTTTGGGACAGAACCCCACGCTATCCAAATTTGCATTTTAGTATCGAGAGTTTGGTTGGTTAAAGAGCAGTTGCAATGGGTGAGCAAAGAGCATAATGAGGGCCTTGACAAAAAGAGGGCCTTGACAAAAAGGCCCTGGAAGACTGTGTTCAGAAAAGGGGATAAGCTTTAGAAAGAAAGCTACAAATCAAGAACTGAGAAATCTGTTAGTGGCCAGTGATCAGGAGGCAGGAGCACAGCCCTTACTTGAGGCTACAGAAGCTGCAGAAAAAATTAGAGTGCAAAAGGCAGCAAATAAACTGCAACTTGAGCATGAACAGAATCTAGCAGATCTTCAATTGCTAGAAAAACAAAAGAATGCTGAGTTCGAAAGAGAAGCGGCTGAGAGAAGAAAAAGCTCACAAGGGGCGTCTGGAGCTGCTGGCGGCTGAGGAGAAAGCTCAACAGGAGACTCACAAGATGGAACAGGAGACAGTCAAACTTTAGCTCCAAGTCATGGAAGAGCAGAGAAAGTCATCGCCACCTGGTACTCCACTTCCCCACCACCATGAGAAAAACTGGGAGAGGATGTTTCCCATTTACAATGATACTGAGGATATAGAGGAGTTTTTGTCTACCTTTGAACGCCTCTGCAATCTGTACTAGATCACTGATGGTCAGCGAATGCCTGTCTTGCTGACCAGACTGACTGGAAAAGCCAGGGAGGTATTTAATGAACTGGGGGAACAAG